CCTCGTCGGCGCGGTGGTGTAAGCTAGCAAGTCAGCTATCACGCAGTCGGAGCCGGTACACCAACCTACTCGCGTGCAGAGGAGGGGTCGGTGGCCCCGTACGCGGAGCACGCGCTATACAACAGACTCTGTATATAATATACAGTCGTCGGCCGGCTTGACTCACGGCTATCTACTGTACACATAGGTATACATCATGCGTATATAATAAGTACAAGCGATTCCTGATCTCGCAACAACTTTTACCCACGTCTGTGACGTGAACCTCGACGTGAACATCATCGCGCCAATTTTATGAAAATATTGGTCATGGCTTATTTTTCTGTTCTTGTTTTGCATCGCTTATGCATTTACGTAATTGGAAAAAAAATAAATTAAATAAAAACGAAAGAGGAAATTTTTCGATACTGGCTTCCCAACAAGTTTTGACGCGACTGTAGATCAACGCGTTTGGGCCTTTTTTTCCTATAGCGGAGCGCTCCCAAAGTCGATTTGTTTCGAACAATGGGAAGTATTTACGGACTATTTCATCACTTGATTTTTCAGTCTAAAATAAACAGGTGATTGATTAATGAATAAATTTTTTAGTTAGTTTTATTCTCGCATTTGTTTGTTACAGCTGGTATTTGGAAAAAACAAACTGATCATAATTTTGCGAACCGTTGAAAAATTTATTTTCTTTGTCCAGCCAAGACGTGTAACGAATGTCAATGCCATCGATACTCGATTACATTACATTGAAAGTAGTGGGTACTTTGTTGTACGGCAATCAATATAACTGCATATATAACATAATAATATATTCATCTAAAATTCCATCCAAATGGTCATTTCGTTGATCATTGTCCCCGCCACGGTATATAACAATCATCACTCTCGTCCAGCCAATTGTTTATTTTTTCTTTTCCATCTATTTACATGACCTTCCCTCCCCAATAATTTCTTTTGTAACATCTCCCCTGTCATTTCGTATAATGCATACATCCACGCCAGGCCCCTACACCCCTGTCTGTCTCCTCTATTTTCCAACGGTGGCTTCCCTCTGTCTCCCTCTTCCGTCCCTTTTCGCCTGGTGCGCACTTTTTCTCCTCTCCCTCTTCCTTCCTGCACCGTCGATCGCAGTCGTGCACCAGAACAACAACCGACGCAGATGCGGTCGATATACGACCAGCCACCCAGTGCGCTTATCACCCCCGACTATATATGTATGTTTCTCTAGTGGTAGGTACTAGTAGAGAGTGACCGAGCACCTTGTCTCTCACCTTTCCAAATAACCTGCGGTTTCTCGTCTTCCCTCAGCTATATATGTGTACCTGTATCGTATAAACTCTATTCCAAGCGCCCCGAGGCGGATCGACCCCTCGAGTGCGCTGTTTCTCGCGCTCGAGTTGAACGAGAAAGGGGGGGAGGGTGCAGTGCCAAAGTGTAACCGAGACGCGAGAGGCAGAGTCCATAGGGGGTTTAACTTGCAGCCGGAGGAAATTGCGGTGACCAGTATACTTCCAAGGACTCGACCAACGCATCCTTTCTCCGGCAAGGGTTTTATTGTCTCCTCGATTGTAGGTCGTGCTTTTGTTAAAAAAAAAAACATTAAATGTTCAACATCATTATATTGAGCTCTTGATGTAAACGTTTTCATACAGGTGGCACATTTTTCATGTCGAGCGCGTGCATTGTTCGCGCATATGTATTTAATCACCACCACGTGTGTACAGATGATGATGATAGTGACTAAATTTTGCGAAATATCGAGCGAAATATTGTACCAAACGTGTCAATGGTTGACCACACATTTTTATCAATTGGCCTTTTTTACATTTAATTTTCACACCTTTTTCTTACGATTTGCAAGTTTCTCTTCACGAGCAAGTAACTTTTACTTTTTCGTTTTCTCGTTATTTATCATTACGTTTCATATAAATACTCGACTATGAAATTGAATCGGTTGAATAAAGGAAGTTTGGGAGAAAAGTTCAAAATGTAGAATCTTGTTAAAAAAACTGTATATTATCTTTGAGCATATCAGGAGTGCGTGCACATGAATTATTTCAGATTTTTCACCAGGGAAATTTTCGAGTAAAAAATTATTAAATATTGTCAGTTTAACACGACCTCTTACGTAAGAACAAGATTAGGTTGCCTTTTAATTAAAAATTATGTTACATTTAAAATGTGTTAGATTAAAAAAAACGTTTTTATAGATACCTTAGTACTAAAGGAAGATGCTCAACAACAAAAATCACGACTCGCTAGGCATTTTTCAAAAATACAACCAGTCGTACAGATTAAAGTTTGTAAAGAGAGGGTGCGTGGTAAAGGGGGCACATCTGCGCGGGCAGGAGAGACTCCCCGTTCCTCACCTCCCTGAATGATACTCCCAAACCTCCTTGGTCTGCAGTCGCAAAATAATTCATTGTCCTAAGCTAAATTTTAAAAAATTCTATTCTAAAATATGCAACCTCAACGACGCCTGGACTGCTCACTTCCCAGAGAAGTTATTGGGAGCAGGTGATTTATTTCCTACAGTGACAGCAAATTGTACAGGTTGTAAAGTGTATGCACTCCTGTCCAGCTTTTTGTCAATCAAACTCGCAGTTCAGGACGACGTCTTCGACAAAGTTGTCACGTAATGAAGCGCGTAGTCGTCGCCAGTACGGCTTGTTTGCTCGATGCCACAGTTCTCTCGTTACGTCACCGTCCTTGATCCCGTCTAAGGACTTGTCCTTTTAAGGACTGCCGTTGGTTACGTAATAGCTCGGTAGTCGCCGCGTTGCTGAATTCATTGTGGTACTCTCACATAAGCGTACGTTACGTGATGGAGTCCAAACCCCTGCCGAGCCTACGACGAATCAATGTTGCTGTAAATAATCAGCTCTCAGCGTTAATTCAATTTAGTTGTAAAAAAAAATTGACAAAAACCCGTAGCGTTTAATTTTAGTTCAACACCGACAAACCCTTGGGAATCAAGTTTCAAAAATGTGACTTTACGGCATCGATCTTTACCGTCGTTGTGGTACTTACGTTCCCTTCACCAGCTCAGATGACAATCTTTAACGAAAGGCCCCAAAAAGGTTAGCTCACTAGTGGTATGTATATAATATATGCACCTTGAGGTACAGTAGGTTCATTCAAACCCCCCTTTGGCTCGGTTCGGTCGGTTCTGGAACCAAAAAACACGCGTTTGCGAGAGTTGGTTCCAGAACCAAAAGTCCGAGTCGGTCGGTTCTAGAACGAAACTCTCGTGAACGCGTATTATTATTTTTATGTTTTTTGGTCCCAGAACCGACCGCACCGAACAAAAGGGGAGTTTGAACGAATCTAGTGGCATTAGCAAACGATTCTGAAATAATCTCAGGCGGTCAATGATCTAGACCTATACGGAGGCTCTCCCCGCGCCGCTGTTGGCACGTGTATGTGTACCACGGCTCGCCCACTTGGTGAATAATCGAGCAAATACTGCGCGTATTGTCGCCAAGGAGACGCTGGAAATCGATACCTCGATGGAGTTGCTCGGCCGAGCCTTCGGTGCTAGCGCCCCGCACGCATAAGTATTGTGCGTACAATGAGCACGGCTCGCCTCTCGTTGCGTGACCTCGAATCATACGCGCGGCTGTGGCGGTGGTTTTATACAGCCAAGGTCGGGGCGCAACGCCGATGCATGTATACTCTTGCGAATACTCCACGGCGAACCCTTTGAGAAAAAGATACGTATATGGGGCCCAACAATAGTCATGTACATATATATATATATATTTATGTAGACACGTGTAGTACCATGACGTTGCTCCCTTGAGACGCAACGTCGTGGATTTCGGCGGTGCAGCGAACGGAGCACGTGAATATTTTTATACGCTCCGTTGCGTGGGAGAGCTTTGCTTTAGTTGTGTGTTGCTGCTGCTGTACGCGGAAATAACACGCGGTTCACTGCTGGTGTTCTAAAATCACGTGTATGTACGTTCTGTGGATTTTTTTTTTTTTTTTTTCTTACTTTTGCCCATTTGCACGTTTTTCTCCATCAACGCTGCCAACCTTCTTTTTGGCAGCGTTATTGAATTTCACTCGAGGATTTTTTAGACCAATGTGTAAATATTCCGAAAAAAATTAGTTACTCTCGATGATTGACCTATATGTGATTATAAGCTCATGGCAAATAATTACACACGTGTTAAACATACTTTGTATATGACGACGAAAAGTCAAATCACACACTCAGTTATTGAACTGGTAATAAAAAGAGAAGAGGCAAAAAATTCACGATAAAGTGGGGAATGATTGACTTTTATTTACCAAGCCAAAATCCATCAAAATCCTGAAATTTCATACATGTCTAAAAAAAAACAATTGGCACTGTGTGGATTTATTAGCTCGAAACATCACTTTTCACTCGCTCCAACAGCAATTTGCGGTTGATGGGTATCCTCTAATTTGCCCCCCTCCCCCCAGATTAGTTTTTTAATTACCGCGGGCACGCGTCGGTCGTATCTACACGACAGCGCGATTCGTTCTCCAATGTTGACTTTTAATCATCACCGCAACATTGGTTATACAGATGCACAAAGCCATGTGCAGTATGTGTACGATCCCCCACGCATGCATATATAAATATAAGAGGGTGTGTAGGTTTACCGGCGCCCAGCTGTTGTCTTGTTCGTGTGCGAGTGTATTCAAATGATGGTACACTGAACGAAAAATGTAAAAGAACGTCTATTAGCCACCTAAACAATACAGCAAGCGAGGAAAAAAAAAATTACGGTAGATGAAAAATAAAGCACCCGGAAAAAGTGCAACACTTGCAATGAAAAGCGAAAACATTCGCTGCAACTACATGTGTATATACATGTGCACCTAGCGTTTGTTACCTTTTCCTCTCCTTTATTTTAATTTTTTTTTTTAACGTTGGAGTACAGCTAATTATAATTCATGCCAACAATTTCTGCAACTTTTGTCTCGACTTTGTACCGCAAATTAAACGATCTTTTTTTTCCCTGTCATGATTGCAGATCGCTCCTTCGGCAAAAAAACTATGGGGCGTCGACGAAGGCGGCTCCAAGGACGAAGGAGGCGTCAAGGGTGGTGGGATACTTCACCTGGGTGATCAAATGTGGCGGGACTCGACGTGGAGCACCTCTGGTAAGTCAATTAAGTTTTTCTTCTCCCCCTTCCCCGTTTTTACCACAAATGTATATATATTTACAATACATTTTCCAATTCATTAGTTTGCTCTTTATTGCAAAGCGCATGTATACATCCGACACTCATTGCGGTATACAATTACGATCTAAATTTTGTCTTTAACAAAAAAATCTTGGTGCTTGAATTGTCGTTTTCGAGCCTTTTCCAACGACCACTGCTAATTGAATGCGCCTCGGAATGCACTACAGTGTGGTGCATTAACGGAGTTTACGAGGCTTCTTTTAGAGTGAGTACTACAGCACACGACGCCTGTAATTGGGTTTATATCGTTGGATAATCGTTCGCGTGAACGTAAATCTTACGGCCTTTTTGCGTTGGTACTTGTAAAACCGATACCACGACTTTTCAAACACAGGTACGTACTTGGCAAAAGTCACTTGTTACCAAATGAATGTAAAAGTCCCCATCTGCCGGTTAATTGATAGTTTAACCACGTTATAACTATGTATAACCGTACAAATCATTCATTTGTACATAAATACTCCAGCAGACGTTAACTATATGTACACGCATGGATTTACAATATACATATTTTTTTTCACTTATAAATTAAAACGCCCCGTGTTATGCGAAACAATACTAAATTTGTCATTTCCGAGTACAGGGACAAACCGCTGCGTCACTTGGATTGATTTACACCAGCAACACTCGGTTTAAACAAAAATTGTAAATCCCTGTAACTCCATTAATCAACCCTTTTTATTTCCCACGGTTTATTATTCAATCGAACAAAACGCCCGGAGAGATAAAATCGAGATGGATCGATAGTCTTCTCCTGCATCGAATTTTATGTACCCATCTGCTTCTCCTCCTAGAGTCCAAGATCGGTAATCGATGCTTCGCGAAAACCCTCGGCTAGCGGAAAATACATGTATCTCCCGGAAAAGGGCTCGAGGCTAATCTGGAATCGGAAAAGCTCCCCCCCCCTTCCTCGTCAGCAGCTGGATGGAAGGGGGTGGGTGGTCTCTCGTCGATATACTCCCGGCGCGATGCACGCGAGGAGGAGAAAAACACGCGGAGGTCGGCCACCTCTCCTTGCCGTCGGGCTGCTTCCTGCAGATAGCTCTACCCTGACTGCCGACGGAGACGACGAGGCACACAACGCCACCCTCTCGAGCTTCTCTCGATGATGCCGTGCAGGAAAATAGTGGGACGTGGAAAGGGATGCACTGTAACAATGTGTATATATACGTATGGCGGTGGTTGGTGTGGGCCAGCAGTGTGGTGTGGCGAATGGGTATGATGTGTATGTATATTGGGTGCAACGCGGCTGTTGCCATGGCGACAGACGCCCGGCATCAGCAGCTGCGGCAACGGTGGGGGCAACGGCCCACTACAACTTGTACCCCTTGCGCGCGCGTGTGCACCACCACCACTACTACTGTTATACGTGTACATTGTATATCCACAAGTACAGAAGCACGTTCTCGTGTGTCAACCCTCCGTGCTGGGCGGTGAAGAGAGACATACCACCGACAGATAGCGAGTTTACCTACCACCGGCCGACGACTCCGTCACCGCCACCCCGTTGTTGCGCTTTTCTCGTGTAGTCCCTTGTTCACCCACATCCTCTTTTTTTTTTTTTTTTTTTTTTTTTTCGTTACATATATTAGCTGGCGCTCATTTCGTAGTTTCGTAGCTCGAATTATCATATTCCCTTCCGTCATGAGCTGCTTCTCTCCGTTCCTCTCTGATGTCCGGGATACCCCCGTGTTTTGCTGTTCTCTTGCACTTAACCCTTTGGCTTTTAAAGTTGCGGATGCTTAAAACGAGTTCTTGGTCATACTCCACTGCTTTGTCTGGACCCACAGGGCTATTGATTTCAAGTCATGTACCTTTGATAGCACATACCGGAGTGTCATTGAATATTCCCTCTTGATTTCAGTTGTATACAAGTAATATATCCTCAGTCGTTTGAAGTTGAAGTCGATCGCTAACGTCAATTCAAAGTATTTGATTCGTTTACTTGAGTATTTCGGTGTCTTGCGCATCATATTGTTTATTTAATTTTTATAGAATACTATATATGCCTGGGATTTTTATTTCAGCTTTGTTATAAATGTATTTGTTACTTATATATTACATACTTACAAATAAACTTCACTTGTTTTATTTTTTATCAAATTTGAGAAGTGCGTTTATCATTTATAGAGTTGAATTTTTAAATAAATCACAGGGGATTTTTATGATTTCCTTTAAATTTTTCTTCAACCCACCAAGTACAGCAAATTCAGCCCTCGTAACTTCCGAAATAAATTCAGAATAAAACTATGAACATTTTTTTAGTTTCTATAATTGATATTACAGAAATTTTTAAATGAATATTATGTAATTATCCTCGTACATTGCTCAACGTTCCAATTATAAGTGCTCGGTACAAAACATGTTTAAGATAAATCAGTTAACAATTAATTTTTTTTTTTTTTTTTTTTTTCACTGGTGGGCAGCAACAGTGTAGTTGGCGTAGCGCACGATTGTAAACACTCAAAGATTGTGCAAAAAGGAAAAACTTTCTAAGCAAAAAACATGACACTGAATTTGCACATACGCCGTACAGTTGGATACACGCGTTGGAATACGTATGTATTATGTATACGCTCTTGCGCAAGGCAAAACACACGTATACAATTACCGCTATACAGTTCATTTTCCTCCGTAACATTTTTCCCCTGCAATCTTTCGGGCGAACATCTCTCATTTTCTTTTTCAATCTAGCAACGATTTTCTCGCCCCCCTCCCCTTCCGCTACATCACCTATAGCGCGCTTTGCTGCGTCTCTCCTTTCCTCCAATGCTCCCTTGCTCTCGAGTTCACCCTCTTTTCTCTCCTCTTTGGCTTTTTTACCCAAGTTGCACGCTCATCTCTCCTTCCCCCGTCCCTTTCCTTTGCCGTTTCATCCATTGAATTTCGCAGAGCTGCTTCACCGCGTCGAGTCTGTGCCTGCATCTCCGATTAACAGTCGCAGTTGGCACCTGTCGTTGTATTGCTCGCTTATACTCCGAGAAATGGGATGCACTGCAACGTGCACCAGCGTATGAAAAATTTTTCCTTTTTTTCCCCACCCTATATAGGCAGGAAACTACGTTTGGCGTTTGCAAAGAGGCGTCATCGTTTTATTATTTCTCTCGCTGTATGATAACAACCCTTTGACTTCACATTTTGATTGGTCATGTGCAATAAATTTTTCAAATGCCTAGGAATTTATTTTTACTTCATAAGTGTCGGAACTCATGTTTTATTTCCGAGTAAACAAATTTGAAGAGGAATTTGCTTACAAGTTGTCTTTTGACATGTATATGTTACTCTCGCGGTGGAAAAAATGAAAAATTTTTGTGTAAACGTTACGTAGCATCGACCAAAAGAATAAGAAAGTTATGAAAAATGCACGTAATGAGAAAAGAAAGTTTAGCTCAATTATGAACAAAGAAAAAAAAATTTTACGAGGCAGCTAAGAAAATATCGGTATGAACTCGAACAATAATGGCTCCTATACGTTAAATCGTCTGCTGATGACTCATCTTTTTACAGGGTACATTAACTTTTCACGAAATACCTATCACTTGAATTATATTATACAAATAAAACACCTCTTCTTATAACATAAATCTACTAATCATTTATTGAACAAGTACCAATTGTCTTGATTGCCGTAGTCAATAGCCAAGTTTTACTGTTTTAATCGTAAATATTCAGAGAAAAAAATTACTAATAAGTTAGTCAAATCTAAAGGAGTTTTTGAAACAAAAATATTAATGAAAACAAAATGAAACCGTATTTATTCTTGTCCGCAACCTTGACGCAACGTTTACACCTACACATCACGTACACGTATTCGTGTATTCACATTGTACAGTTTTTTTATGATCTGCGATTCTCATTTTGTTGCAGATCATGCAGTTTCGCAGCCGATTTCAATGGGCACCGGTAGGTCTCGGATTGGAGTTGGCGGTGGGTTTCAGACATCGGAAGTTGGAGCTGTTCTCAGTCCACGAAGCAGGTACGTCAGCTTCTATGTTTTTACTTTAATTTTTCTCCCACGTTTTTTAATATGCAAACGGTGCAGTAACAGAAACTGTAACTATTTTAAAGTCTCGAGCTTTTTTCAAAGCTCTTGATTCAATAATTCTTTAGTTGCAATATATTGTTGGTTTAAAATGATATGTCCGATGCTGAGCAAAATTTATTTCTGATCACCATAAAAAAACAATAAAAAAATCGAAAAAGAGGTTCTTGGAGCTCTATGAACGTGATACCTGACTTTTTGCCAATGAGAAATCGACGATTTTTCGTCTTTTCACAGTGAAACTGGAGGGCTCGGAGTTAAAATGGTCGAGTACGTGCTTGGATCGAGTCCCACGACCCCGAAAGAGTTGGAGCCGCGAATGGCGTCCCTCAGATTGGTACGTAACCCAATGTATTTTTCACCACCACCGCAAAGGATGAAAAATTAAAGTAACTTCTGACAATTGTATTTTCAGAACGACACAGACAAAAAGGACAAAGACAAGGGTACAGCCAGTCCCTTTGATAATTCAAAGGACGATACTGGTCCTCAAGGAAACGGACTTTCCTCACAAAATGGTCTCGACGACGATAAAGGATTCAAGTGAGTGAAAGGATACCTTATCACTTATTATTCTTAACAATGATCAAGGATGATTTAATAAAAGTTTTTTTTAATTGTCGATCGGTTATCGCAGTCGCATTAGAATTTTTTTTTTTTTTTTCATTTTCATTACTTTCCGTATGACAATAAAAGTAAAACCAAGACTCTGACAGAAAGAATGGGATTTTTCGCTTTAAGCTGGAAAGAAAAAAAAAAAAGATCGTGCAGTTCTGTGTTACGACTCCTTGTTGTTTAACTCTTACGGCCAAGCTAAAGAAGTCGAAAAAAAGTGCATCAGCACGAGTAAGAAAAAGAGATGCGTGCGCGGATAAAAATGAGAGCAACTGTGGAGACGCGCGGTGCATAAGAACAAGACGATAGCTGTCAAGGGCGCGTGTACGCACACAAAACGCGCTCACGGATACGTGTAATGTGCTATTAGGCCTCTCCATCGCGACACGCGCGCGACCAATGACAGGAGACTGGCCTGCATTTATATACATCAGAGTACATATTCTTTCGGGCTTTTGGACGCCTTTATAAAGTAGTATCTATCGATGAGCGGGTTTTTTTTAGTTTCGCGGTGGTTCATCGACTTGTCGGTTTCACGACATTATCGTGACATCTAGCGGGAGCCGATGGGCGTGGGTTCTACCTTGCCGACTGCTCGTACAGAGGCTTTGCAGCATTTTTTAACGTTTACCGATACTTTATGGTTTTCATCACGGTTTTTTTGCCAATATTTTTAAGCGTATACTACAATCGATACAAAATATAGACAATCATCGAAAAGATATCAATGATGAGATTGGAGTAAAATATACTGAAGTGCTTCTTTGAATGGTTCACCTGTTCTTTGTTAGAGATGAATATCTCACTCTCGTAATATTATTGTCACTAGCAGCAAGTAATGATAATTTTTTCATATTGGTGAAGTTTCTTACGCTTTATAAACTATTCAAATGAGATCTCAGTTTCGTTACATTTTTAATTTTCATGGAAAATGATNGTCGATAAAATCATTCCGACAGTCAGTTGATTTGGTATAGATTTATGCGTGGGGATGCAAGCAATTTGTCGAACTCGATTTCAATTTTTTTTACACAATTGCCTCACAAAAATTTCGTCGTCCCATTCTGGTTTTTTTTTTTTTTTTTTTTTTTTTTTTTGGAAAAAAATTTTTTCCGACAAAAAAAAAAAAAAAAAAAAAAAAAAAAACTCAAGCAATCAAGTAGTTGACTTCGTTATAGACTGCAACCTTATACCGAATAAGAATTTTTCATTTCAAAGCAAAGACGTCGACAGAAAACCTGAAACCTTTGCCGAGACGTCGTTATTGTAGACATCCGTTCGCCGCAAACGCTAGTTATAGCTAAGGAGAAATATTATACGTCAAAGTTTGCGCTCGCCTTTCTCGTAACTGTGCTCTCCTTTGCTTCGTTACTGCGCGAGAACGAGAGACGCTCGCTTGCGGTATCACAAAGTATCCGTTACTGCGATAAACAAAACCGAGTGCGATTTTTCAATAATGTATTTGCTCCTCGTACGCTTCTTTATTTTTTTTATACATCGTTTTAAATATCCATTAATAATAAGTACAGGTGAAATGCTAGTTGGCTCAGACAGTTTTTTAAATGCTTTTTTTTTTTTTATTAGGAAACAAAGATATTTTTTCAAGCTTACTCAGTAGAAACATTTAACCCTCAAATATCGATTAGTCAACTTTTCTAGTGCTACATATTTATAATTAACGTGTATTGACAGGTGGTAAAAAAAACTTGCATGAATTATTTACTTTCTCAATTGTTTTATTTCTTGCGTACTTATAAACGTTTTTCATAATTTGTAGTTGTACATTAGCTCCGTTTTCTTACATGATAGCCCAATTTTTCATCGCCCCTCCTTGTGGATTCACAATGAAATCTCACTAAACGCCCGAACTTTGTTGACAGCCGCACACCTGGCAGTAGACAGCCATCGCCGGGTGAGGAGGAATTTCAAAAAAATGCGACTCTGGCCGTGAGCACAGGTGCCGGTGGCGTGGTCCTTCTGAAGCCCGGCGTCGACGTGATGGGCGGCGAGGAGCACTACATGACAGCTTTCGCCCCGGCACCGCACCATCTTCAGCATCACCAGGCCCCGCCGACCCATCCGATGCAACATCCACAGTCACACGCTGCCCAGCTATTCGGAGCCCAAGGCCCGCCTCAAGGACTACCCTCGCAGCAGCAGCAGCAACAGCAGGGGCCACCTCAGCCACAGGACACGACAGGGCACTTTGACGTACAGGTAGGAATTCCTCCTTTACCATCGGAATGTCGACTTGCAGCTAGATCCTTGGTGGAGTTGGAAATGAAATTAATTAAACGAGGTTTTATAAAAAAAAAAAAAAAAACTTTTGAGCTATTTGACACTTGTAATTTACCATTTCATCACGCGTCTACCTACAAGTTGACTCGTGGCATGAAAAATAATGACATTCCGTTGAAAAACTCGCATGACGTGTACAAGAACAAACAATAAACAAGACTGAGAAGAAGAAAAAAAAAACAACAACAGCAGTACACGAGCTCGCGGATGTTAATTTGACGTTGAGCTATTTTTTCCCACTCTCAAGTATGCCCGCCAGTCGCGCTAACGAGACTCGTCCTCTTCGTCAACTTTCAACCACTTTTCTACGTGCTTCCCGTACGCCACCTGCGCACGTAGAGCTCGTTATACCAACATTCAGCCCGGCCCTCCTGTACGTTTGACATGTCTAATCTAGATTTCACGTACTTTTTCGTCATGTTATTTCCATCGCGACTCATGATAAATACCAATGGCACCCTACAAACCGTAGAGTCTGAACATTTTTACGATAGTACAACTACGTATTTTTTTTCTTTCTCTTTACGTGTAGAATATTATTTAAATACCTATGCGTAAAAGTTTAATTTTGGGTTAACCTGAAGATTTAAGAGTGCCCTTTTTTCCCTCATGGAACAAGCGTTTTGAAGCTTTGAAGAGACTTTCCACCTGCGAAATGTGCAAATCAATGGCCCCTCGTCCTATAATAAAAAAAAAAAATGAACAATAAAGACTCGATTGCGATTGGGCTCGGGACGAATCGGCGAAGAAAAATAGGGGGCGAGAGAGAAATATATCCATATATTTATGCACATGAGCATAAAAGAAACTAAAAATGGGGGCAGTAAACAATGGACCTCCTTCGCGTATCCCCGTATACAACACGTACAAAAGCAGCTCATCGTCCTCGATCCTCCCTCTCGACGGCTTACAATATAAATCATACACCGGGTGAAGCCTAGATAGATAGACAGACACACATTTACCATTATAAGCGAGAAAGAGAGTGACGGGCAGTCGCAGGCTGGCGTGTTACCCATCCCTCCACACCTATATACTGTAATACCGTCGCTCCGAAAAATAGAACGACGGAGAAAGACTCGGAAGTCAGAGGTGCAAGGGGTGAGGCTGGCGGTGGATATATACAGCAGGACTGGGACGTCGATGTCAATGACGGTACTTTCAAAAGCGCGACTGTACATTATGCACTGCAGCTTATCGGTACTCGAGCTTTTCATAAATAGTATACACATAACACGGTACGAGCGCGTGTTGTACATATACATTATACACTTGGGCTGTATACCGCGAACAAGTTACGCATTGGTAATACATACCGGGACAAATCAATACGTGGCTGTGTGTGTATACGCGCGTATACGAGGAGAAAGAAAATTCCTTTCTAGCGTTTGTTTTTTTTTTTTTTTTTTTTTTAAATTTAAGAAAAAATAAATTCATTAAAATGATCAATTNTTTTTTTTTTTTTTTTTTTTTTTTTTTTTTTTTTTTTTTCCGTCCCTCGATGTAACGCGAAGGCACGGTCGGCGCCGGTAAAATTTTTCCACAAATGGAACGTTGATCCGAGCAAATGTAAATCGTCACGAATGTATACGTATACATGTATAAGCCAGTCGCCCATTCTGTGTGGAATTTTTCTTTTTTTTTTTTTTTTTTTTTTCTTTTACACAATTTAACATGAACGGAAGGACAAGTAGGTGACAGGGCAAGAAAAGAAAAAAAATACATATGAAATAAGGCGAGTCAGTCATGCCGCGTGTTTTTTATTTCCATTGTGATCCCCCTTTTAAAATGTAATGGCAACAACAATAGCAATAACACGACGTAATATCATATGGTATACAATATCCGAGGAACGGGATGGATAATTGCGTCGCGACGCCGCAGCGCCTTGGGGCTCATAAAAATAATCCAAAGGGAGAAAAAAAAAATTCCTTTTTGGGTTTTTTTTTTTTTTTTTTTTTTTTTTTCTCCCTCAACTGTTTTGTTATCCACAACGCAAGTACAGGCGCATAACGATGAGCTCCGATCGGTGAAGAGCGCCCAAAAAGGTATTTATTTACTCTCGAGATGATGGCTGTCTGTCGAAGGAACATGAATACTATCTCCTGCTAAGTTTTACCCGAAGATGAGGCAAATTATGTGTATTTACCGCAACTTACCTGACCAATAAAAGTTGAGTTTTCCCTTTCCGGTCTCTCGAGTCTTGTAACAGGTTTATACAGATCGAGCCCCCGCTCAAGTTTCCCTATGAATAATTTGTCCGTCTTGCGCGCGAAAACTTCATCTCGTCGTCCCATTTTTTTTTTTTTTTTCCATCCGATTCTCGACGTTATACAGCTCATGTCTTCCTTTTGCCTCGCCTCCACCCGACGCCACACTTACACGGTGCTATCCTCTTTCGAGATAAACCCTTTCGTCGAAAAGTTTTGCGCTTATCAGCCGCACCGTGGAACAACAATAGAACTGGGTATACATACATACGCTGGGAGATTGATATACACAGTGCCGCTGTTGCGGTACTCGGAAATAATCGTTATCATCATCGTATCCAAGGTCGCGTGCGCCCATTATTTTCACTTACAAAGCTTTGCAAGACTCCCTTACTCATTTCCGTGGAGCCAACATCTATACCGCATCTCGTGTTCCGTGCATATATACACATGAATGTTATATTATGCCCGTGCCTGGTTAATAATGCACGCACTTTTCCCGCGAGTCGCGTGAAAAACCCACGTACCATCATTACATGGGTGTATATATATATATATATATATATATATACCTACTCCCACGCGATTGCCTTGTTGTTCTCGGTATACGTTATACATAAATTTACGGTGGCTTCGTGTCGTGTCTTCTTCCGTCACTGCACCTATTAAGTTCTTTTTCTCTATGGGCTATACATTTATTATATACACGTTGCTCCCGATGCCACTGTTGTCGTGTGAAGTGTTTCGCCAGACGTGAGGCTGTTTTTTTTTTTTTTTTTTTTTTTTTTTTCACCTCTACGCGCTACGTTTCGTCGTGTACTTATATACGTACAGCATATAGGTACACGCAGTAGCGCGACCTCGAGCTCTGAATTAATTATTGAGCGTCGTGTTGGAACTGAAAAAAATAAAATAAAAAAAAACCTGTATATGTATTAGCACGTTTGAAAAACTCTTCTTCGTACGCAACTACCCGGGTGAATCGAGCCGCGAAGCGCAACCAACCTACATGGGATTATTTTCTACTACCGTATACGCTTTGCATTAATCGATTTTTTCACATTTTCATTTTTTTTTCTTTCCCTCGTACACCTTTTGCCCTATATATACTAATTATAATCATGTACGCAGGGGAGGGGGGGAGAAAAGAAAGCCACGTCATCTCTCTCGCGCGTACCGCTTTCATCCCAGCTTATTGACCGATACTCCATTTAGCGCGAGGCACGTGTACCAGAGATATATATCCATGTATTAACAGGCTGCAAGCACGCCCTGGTGGGCACGTAAACGCGCACAGGTAGGTATTCCAACACTTTTTTTTCATTATTTTCTTTTTCTCCTCTCTCGAGGTTACAGGTATATTATAGAGGCGTTGTTGTTGCCGTCGATCCGCCTATATATAGGGTGTATATAATATGTACTACACATGCAGCGCTCTATTATTAAACCACGTGTACTTTTTGTTGTTCTTCTTCTTTTTGTCTCTCATTTAAGTACAACTGGGGAAAAGAACGAAGGAAAGAAAAAAAAATCAGTGTACCGTGTGCCCAACGTGTTCCACATCAGCCAGCCCAGGCGCGCTGCACACGTAACCGGCGAAAGCTTTGACGCGCTCTTTCTCTCTCGCTCCTCGTCATTATGTTTTTCGTCTCATTTTCACGTTCGACGGAATGAAAAAGTAGGAGGGGAAAAAAAAAACGAGATCAGCAACCAGAGAAACGAAGAAAGAAAGAAAGAATGGCGGAGAGAAAAAAAAAATAGAGTGGGTACACATGTACATACGTATACGTATATATAGGCAGCGACGGCGTGACGGACGGACTCGAGAGCGCGTCGGTATGGCTTTTAATACGCGACACCCTCTCTCTTCTTTGCCACAGTGCGCGCTCATGTGCGTGCTTTACAATGTACAGGTATATATATATATGTCCCACCTATGCGCTATGGGTGAAACCATGATCGTATTATTATGCGAGCGGTGTATACATACATATACATATATGCCCTCGCGCTCGACAGCGCGTGAAGCTCTGCTTTTGCTCTCTCTTCTCTTTTATCCTCTCTCGCTTCGCAGTACCCGTGTTGTTGTACTATATACACCCGCTCTGCAATTTTTTTTTTCTCTCTCCCCCTCCATCCCTTTCTTCTCATCGTTCTTTGCGGCCATTTTATCTCTCCCTCTCCCGGTGTACCTTCGCGCTAGCTCAGTCTCGTCGATTATAAAACACGCCCCCGTGCGCGTGAGTTATGCAGTTGACTCTGCTCGTTAGTTCGCTTAGACCGACCGCGGCGATGTAATAGGCAAAGGGGGTTGTTCCTCCTCGTCTACTGGTATCGATCTCTCCACGAAAATCGAGCGCCAACCAGTCAAATATTTAAATCCCCCCCTCCTCCCACACACACCCCCAGTATTCTTATAAGCCCCAGTCACTTTCCCTTGGATCAATTAGGGAGCGAGCGTTTACTGTAAACGATATTTTGGGAAATAACGTTAAACGAGGCTCTTGGGGGGGAGGTGCAATTAACGTTATTCAACGTAAACCGGTGCGCTTTAATTTTCCAAAGTACAAAGTTATAATGATGCCTCGGTATGGAGGGAGAGAGCTTGCGGTGGCTTTCAGGGTGTGTTTCGAGGGATAAAAAGCACATGAACCCGTGAGTGGGTCGCGTGGGTGCGTGACGGCCTCGGATACACTACGGCCGTGTCAG